AAAGTGTTAGTTAAAAAATACTCTACTCGAACTAATGTCGTGTATTTTTTGACTAGAATGTCAAGATGATTTATTTTTCAAAACGATAATAGTTCTGCATACTAAAACATAATGAATACAAATTTCAATATTTTTTTAACAAAACAAGTACTGTGTTGTTTTCTCAAATCCCAGAGTACATAGAAGTTAAAGTGCTAGCAAGATATTTCAACTTTAAAAAAAGGAAAAAATCATGATATAATGAATTACTCGTGGATTAGTCGTCAAGTAGTCGTCAAGTAGTTGTGAAGTAATAGTGTAGTAGTTCCTTTTGCAGTACGTCTTGTTACAAATAGGTCTTTGTAAAGTTTGATGCTAAGATGTACAGACCATCGCGTTTCAAGAGAGTGTGATGTATATGGCAATGTTCATATTTATTCAATACACTTCATTCGTTTATGAATTTCTATGACTTTTACATTTCCTTGAACTTTTCAATTACACAATTAATTAATTGACCTGTGTGCGATGTATGGCTGAGAGACATAAACCACTTAGCTACCTATTAAAGGGGCTTGAGTTCGAAACCCGACTTAAACAGAGTTGTGTTTGCTGAGCGTGTCAAGGCAACATGGAAACTTTCTCCCAGGTACCCCCTTCCTCCAGTAACTAGTCCACAGAAGAGATTGGACCACTGAGCACACTATAAGCATGAAAGATGCGCTATACTATATACATGTATATGTGTCGATTTTTATTCAAAAAAGTTTTACATCCAGCCGTATTTACTTATTAACCTAATTATACATGTAAATTAAATACTTATATTATACTACGTTAAATGTTTTCCTGGCTGATTCAGGCAACCTTGTTTCAAGATCTAGAGGCAAAAGATAGAGCACATAGGAAACTGTCTCAGCATATGTACTAATCAATGCAGCGTTGAGTCTATGACTCGTTAGTCTATACATTATCAAGTCAACATGTGCAGTCTTTTTGGTCTTTTAAACTCATATCTGTACAAAAGTAAGCGCAATATTTACTTGAAAATATGTCTATGTTATTATATATGTCTATGTCATTATATATTCCTTTTTGTTTCTTTTTTATTGTATTTTTATCTTTGGTTTTGTTTCACACATAACAATTAAAGGATATGTCAACAAAATCATTTAGGATGACATTTCTATAAATATAGAAAACACAAATGCAATGACAAGATAAAATGTGAAAACTAATGGCTTTGTAGTGGTTCCCAAGTTATTTCCCGCAGTATCCTTATTAGGAGTTGGAGCAGTAGCTGTGTTGGTGGTAGTTGTGTTTGTGTTCTCTAAGGCTTTGTACACTTCAACGGCGCAAGAAGAGAAAAGAGACAGAAGTTCCTGGCCAATGACTGAGGAAGACCACATGGATTGCTAGGAAAAACAAAACAAATTTCATTATTGTAAATATGAAACAAAAGCCCTATCCCCATGTCATCAAGATTGTAACAGTCTGGTGTTGCACGAGAACATTGGCTTCTTTCATTTCTAAATAAGGAGACTCCACTCAGAATGGTTAATACATTAAATAAAAGGAAACGTGTAAATGTTCATGTTGATTAGACTCCCCTTTAAAATAGACCATTAAAATAACCAAAACTGTACATAACTAGCTAGTGGGAAAGTATGTTTGTTCATAAATAAGAGAAATATAATCCTAGGGATAATTAGATACTCACATTTTATGGCATAAACTGTTTCATTTTTAGTAAAAGACCAAAACTAATCAAAACTGCAATTATCTTATTACTTTCCTACATTTCTAAACATCTAGCCTCCCCCCCCCCCCCCGGTCCAGTTAAACGAAGTTCGTTGTAGAAGAACTTCCTTCTAAATGAATCTGAATTTGACTGAAAGTAAACAATTCTTTTCTTAGTGATTCTCGGGCTGAATGAAAGCCGGAATTTTAATTTCATTTTTGACTTAGTCCCAAAGAGTTTCATCTGAAAAGTTTCTCAATTCAAATGTTTACAGTATTCTCCACATAATTGCTGACGTCTCGTATAATCAATGTGGCCTTGGGTATATAGAGTGATTGTAATACTACCAAAGCCCTTAAAAAGGTTAGTAAAATGAATACAATGTAATTTCTTATAGTCCATGGGATTTGCCTAGCAATTAACAAAACAAAATTAAAAATAAACCAGTGGCTAAGAGAAGTGAAATGTGTCACACCTACCCCTAGCACGGGCCATTGCTTATACAAATGTTTATACCAACCTTTATATAATTGAAAATCTCTCCATTTAAACAAGGATTGCTATTTTTCATGCGTACAATAGAGTCCAGGCATTCTTTAAAACACGGTCCATAACGTCTGCAGTTACTGACCAGGTCACGATACATCTGAGTTGAATTGAGCCATTCTGTGTTAGAATAGTTGAAGAGGTTGGAGCAGCCTTGGTAGGTGGACGTGTCACAGCGACTGCGATTTAGACGTAATGAAGAATTACAATAAAACCAAAGCCTCGACCTTTTAGATGGAGTTTTTTTGTTTCTGATCAATTGGTTCAAGAAAGACAAGCAAGTTCGATGAAGTAACAAAGTTAGTGCGTGATGTGTAATCAATTTTCCATTGGCTGTTTTTAAAATAAACTATTGCTAAGGAAGAAAAAGTTTTATTTTAATTTAATTTTAACATGACATGGCAATGTGTCTCCGTCATAAAATTGTCATTCTCTACCTCTCTTTTTTTCGCTTTGTCTCTCTTTCTCTCTCTGTCTTATTCTCGTACACTCTTTTTATTTATCTTTTTGTCTTTTCTGTCTCTCCATCTCTTTATACTTTCTCTTCTTTCATTCCAGATTTTCACTTTCAATATTTAGAAATAATTTTTTTTTTAAAGTTCCGGTCACCCCAAAACATTTCCTGTGAAAGCTTGTACAAAGTGTTATAGTAGATAGCCTTTCAATACGTAGTTTTTTAACATAAGGCTATGCATTTAAATAAAGATAGCACAGATTTTTAAAATAGTGCAAGCCTCTGTCATGTCTGTGTCAGATTCAAGAAAATATAGTTCTAGGTCAAATCAAACCATTCTAAGAATGTTTTAAAATGAGTCTATCTACAGATATCTTGGTCATTCAGTTCTACATTTTTCACATTGAAAAAGTTTAGCCACATTTTATATCTTATTTTTTAAAATGTTCTATTCTGTAGTTGTCATTGTATTGGCTATGTCTGTAGTTGCCATTGTATTGGCTATGTCTGTAGTTGTCATTGTATTGGCTATGTATGTAGTTGTCATTGTATTGGCTATGTCTGTAGTTGCCATTGTATTGGCTATGTCTGTAGTTGTCATTGTATTGGCTATGTATGTAGTTGTCATTGTATTGGCTATGTCTGTAGTTGTCATTGTATTGGCTATGTCTGTAGTTGTCATTGTATTGGCTATGTCTGTAGTTGTCATTGTATTGGCTATGTATGTAGTTGTCATTGTATTGGCTATGTATGTAGTTTGACGTTTTTCTCTAATCTGTATTAACAATTTTTTGATATTCTAACTGCACTATATATAGCCTATATTTATAAAAGACTAAAAACTTACTTGACGTCAGGACCGTAAGTAAAACAGTCCAAGTTTTCAACATTTTCCTTGGGATAGTAAATTAAAAAGCCAGTGCACATCTCATCAAATGTTGATTGACCAGCGATCGTGGCGCTATTTCTCTTGATCGTACTGTATGTACATTTGGTTATAATCTCATCTCCAGGCAAAATTTGAAAAGGATTCTCTGAGCTAGAATAACGTCATTTTTGGTTGAGGCAATTACTTGAGGAAAATGTCTATGTATATGCAACTAATTTCATTGCCCTGTGGATTGCTTACAAGTTTGGCTACATCCATCTCTCACATTTTGTTCATATCATATTTACAATTAACAAATTAAATTAATCTCTCACATAATAGTTCAAAGAAACTATATGCAGACAGACACTTGGTACAATTTGTTGAAATGAATTCCTTGCAGTCTCTCATAATTAGTGTGTGCTTATCTTTTACAATTACATCTTTTTTTATTATTTAGGTTTTAATAAAATCAGAGGTAAATTAAAGTTTGTAATAAATATTAGTTTGAGTTTCTACAAAGTATCAACATAGTGACAACAGTTAGGAAGTTTCTTTAGTAGCCATTAAAACAATTTTTAAGTATAATTGTTAAATTAGCACGACAATTTAATTAAACAGGAAAAGTATAACCTGATAGATAGGGCAGTTCAACAAATACTTGGTGCCTCATTTCTACAAATGTACAAACTACTTTGTAAAGACTGAAAACATGAAATTGATGAACACAACCACATCAGCACTGAACAGGTCTATGCAAAGCCACATCAGTACTGGACAGGCCTATACAAAGCAATATCAGTACTGGACAGGCATATGCAAAGCCACATCAGTACTGGACAGGCTTATGCAAAGCCACATCAGTACTGGACAGGTCTATGCAAAGCAGCATCAGTACTGGACAGGCCTATGCAAGCCACATCAGTACTGGACATGCCTATGCAAAGTCACATCAGCACTGAACAGGCCTATGCAAAGCCACGTCAGTACTGGGCAGGCCTATGCAAAGCCACATCAGCACTGAACAGGCCTATGCACAGTCACATCAGCACTGAACAGTTCTATACACAGTCACATCAGCACTGAACATGTCTATGCACAGTCACATCAACACTGAACAGGTCTATGCCAGTATTCAGTCTTCCTCTGGTCAACTAAGCTGTAAGTAGCGCCTATTCTACAAAATATTGTTCTTTTACTCTTTTAATGCCCTAACTTACACACAGGTCACTTTACAATTCATATCATCAATGTATTGAACATTTTGGATAAAGCAAGCCTATAAACAGCTTCTATCGAATAAATACAATAAAAAATAATTGAAAGTTACTTACTAAAGCATAAGTTCAGGGCTGTCATAATTATAAGTCATCTCATTGGTCAAATACAACACTTCCGTTTTATTTCTAACTATTTTAATAGACATTTGCTTCCCTTAGAAAAAAAAGTTTTTCAATCATTGGATATAAAACATGATTGATACAATATCTAGAGCACTGAATGCAATACAATGTTTTTAAAAGTAAGCATGTTCAATATAGTGATCGTCATAAACAATGCTTGTGTTTAAATGTACTTTCTAGTGGTTTGTAAACACCAATTACACATATGAAAATGGTTATAGTTCAATTCTGCGTTTTTATGAAACTTAAGAATGGAGGGGTTTTGTGTCTCACCCACTTTGAAATTAAGTGACATTGGTGTATTTTTTCTCGTAGATTTGCTTTAGTAATGGAGCGGTAATTGTGGTTTTGCTTTATTTTTTTTTGGGGGGGGGGGGTTGGGAGGTTGAGCTTCACCCCCACCCAGACTACGCTCGTGGAATTTGGTGACTGCAATTTTGTTTTAAGTTTTTTATTGGAGAGGGATAACCTAACCCCTCCCCCCGGCTACGATGGTGGAAACTGGTGACTGTAGTTTTGCTTTATTTTTTTATTGGAGGAAGTGTTATCCTTAAAAACTCCTATGCTGGTGGAGATAGAAAAACTACATTTACTTTAGTTTGTTTTTGTTTTCTTCGAGGAGGGTTTTAACTAGACCTTCCCCTTTACCTTGTAAGCGTAGCCAAAGCTATTATGAGGGGAATTTTATTTCGGAAGAGTGTGTTGATATGTTGCCCTTGATATATTTCTACATAACACTTTGTGTTGACAATCCTTTAATTCTTACCTGCCAGGTGCATATGATTCCATGCTGATGTTACATTCATATAGTTCTTGATTATTTTTCTTGTACATTGCGATGGGCAAGTTGATGTAATGCTAACTGAAGGTTGCCTAGGGGGCAATAAAAATTGCCAAGGTCCTAGAGAATAAGTGCCAGCTTCATGAGGTCTTCTAAAATAGTTATAATATAAATATAATATAGTGTGCTCTTTGCAATCAGACGTAGGTTGATATGTAAACTGAATGTTAAGATTTTAACTATTTTGAATAATTATATTGACATTGGTCCTGAGCAAAAGAAAAATATCTAACAATAAGATAAATTGACAGATTAGGTTAACAATCTTTCCATTAAATAAAATTTATCAACCAAATATGTGACTAAGTGTTGCACTATAGCAGTGAAAAATCATCAATACTAGTTAGTTGTACACATGTACATAACAGCACAAAAAGTTTTTAAAAAATCGCTCTACTTTTTGTTGGTAAAGTATGCCATCATTCCAGAACTATCCACCCAGTCTGATCTGATATCAGGATTATTCCAATGGACCTGCAAGAAATATAATCTCGAGTTAACTACATTGCATTTAGTCATAGTACTGCAAAGACTTCAGAGTTAAACGTATTAGAAATGTTTTTAACATGCCTGATTGATTTTTTGTTTCTGAAAGTTTATATTTATCATTCTAAAACCTTAAATTCGAAATATTTTACTGTAGTACTCGTAAGGAAACTTGTGCCTAGAGCTTGTAGCCTTGTTAAAGCTTGTATTGAATTGAGACCAAATCTAACCTAACGTATAGCATTAGACTCCTATATTCATATCATTCTACAAACTCTACAGCTGCTTACCGAAATAGCAAAAGTTTTAAATCCTTTGTTCCCTATGGTGATTCCAGTCATTGCGTGATAACAGTCTCCAGTCAAACCAACAGACCAAACACTCAACTCGGTAGTACAACTTGGTGAGGGATGAGCACCACAAAGGAAAGGTTCCTGTTTGACAGACACACTGTCATCTGGGGAACATTAAGATTTGTTTAAACCGTTAGGAACAGAAATCTAGAAAGTTCTAATTGCTGCTTTGGATGGAATGTAATTGGTATATACATTATGGAATACACAGCATTAAATGAACGACTCAAAACATTCGTCAAGAATACTTCAGAATTCAGATCATTTAAAAAACAAAGTGACAAATTATTTGTTGAAGTTTGTGTTGCAGTTTGTTTAAGAATTTAAGAGTTTGTGTTGGAGTTTGTGTTTGTTTTAAAGTTTGTGTTGGAGTTTGTGTTTGTTTTAAAGTTTGTGTTGGAGTTTGTGTTTGTTTTAAAGTTTGTGTTGGAGTTTGTGTTTGTTTTAAAGTTTGTGTTGGAGTTTTCGTTGATATTTATTCTGGAGCTTGGTTAACTACAAACATGGACATACGTTAATAGTACCTAAAAATTGAATTTACCAAAAAAAAAGTAATATTGTTTCAAATATTACCTAGCATATACGCGCAATATTTTTTACAAAGTTAAGTATTACCCTAAAAACAACTGATAAGTATTTTTACCTGTGCAGGCAAACAGTTTCATGTGGTGAATGACGTATTTATTGTCTTGAATTGGTTTTACTGCTATTAAATGATAATCGTCTTGTGGCGCCATCTTCCGAAAGTCAAAGAACTGACACATATAGATGGTTTCTTTGGCAGGTACGTGAGTTCCAGGAGCAATGGTGAAGTTCACTGTCTGAACATCTGAAATATATAATTAGATGGAGAACATGTACAAGCTGTGTTTTAAATAAAAAGTACCTGGCCTAAGTTTGTTTGGTATCAGAATGACCTCCGCATCGCTTATTTATTAAATAGGAATAGGGAGACGTATAGGCGATACTTGAAACAATCAATTTATTAGAAATGGTGCTCCCACAAACCTATATGTATATATATTGTAACGAATCTCACTATCCAGGCTCTCTGCAAACTGCACAATACACCACCAACTTAAAGAACTTGACAACTCAGGGCTCCAAAATAACGTAACAGTTTAATGTCCAATAAATAACAGCCAATACTGAACTATTGGCAACTCGTAACACAAGGCTGTACAATTATTCCTCCAACACCGTACAGACGTATCAACTCTAGCACTGGCCTCTCCGTCTCGTTCCGGGCTTGCACTGGGTTCAACAGTGGGCTCGTTGTGTCGGACTCGATCACAGACCAAGATCAAGACGCCGGTCGTCTTGACAGTACTCCGCACTGAACCACACCGCCGAACCACACCGCTGAACCACACTGGACTGTGCTGTAGTCGACCGGACTGTATTGAACCGGGCTGTAGTGAACCATCTTGACTGCGACACCTCCGCTCTTTATTTAGGATCCCTAATGGCCTTCTGGAACCGGACAGAACGTCGCTCGACCATTCCGGGTGGTCAGATGACTACATCCCTCGTGACGCTCCTGAGCTCTACTCATGACGCAAATCCTTCCTGAACCGTCATGTTGACACTCGTCTCGGCTGACCGTCGTAGCTCGTCACGGTTGACTGCTCGTCTAGCGCTGGCCTGGGAGATTTGCCTCGGCTGACTACTAACACACCACTACCCCTATCTGTGCCACCACAAGGTTGATTACAATATATATATATATATATATATATATATATTATATCTAGACTGAAAAACGGAGACACATTCTTATACGCGATTGATCAACTTAGAGACTTATATATCTTTATATATCTATATATATCTATATATGTATATCTACATATCTATATATCTATATCTATATGTATATATATTGTTGTGTATTAATCACAGAACTATATATTCACGCAAATTCATGAAATAAAGCCATTTCTGTTAGTTTCCATTAAGATAATCACAAAAATGTGCTAGATTGAACATTTACTTCTATTGATTTTAGTCATATTATGTATATTTAAATAGATTGATTACCTAGATCTTTTTAGATAATGGATCTACAAATTGCAAATAATAATCATGAGACGAGAGTGTTCAATTACTAGATCTAGATCTATATGTTACATAGGTTAGGGTTGAAAAAAAACTTTACATCTTATAACTACTTTTCAAAACAACGCCTTGTTTCAACTTTTTAAAAAAAAAATCACATTTTTGTTGTGTTAGAAGATTACCTTGTCCAGTCTATTTATAGTATGTATAGGTATTCAACAAAATGAAAAGTATATAAAAACTAAAAAGGTTCTATTAGGAGCGAAACTCAAACATAATGAATGGACCCGATATAGCAAAACGGGTACCACACAAAAAAAAACGCTAAATTTCATGTGTAATGCTGAACAAATAATTGAGAAAACTTGTCACAAAATGTTTTTGATGGTCACTTAACACACACACACAACTGTCAACTTATGTTGGTTTACATTAGTTTCGAAGCGAAAAAAAAAAGCTTCTAATCTTCATCCTGACTAGGACACACTGACCTGTTTCATTGATTCCAGGACAAATAAAGTCTCTCTGTTTACACATTTCTTTCATCCATTCCTCTTGATTGTAATATCTTGAATGTGAAGTATTCTTAGACAAACAATTGGGAGAGTTCCATGGGTCACAGATACCTACAACAAAGAAATGTTGAGTTTTTAAAAAAAAGAATAGCAATAATAACACAATAAGACAAAATGTTACTCTCTCATGCCGCCCTCACCATCACCACTATCTTGTTAAACTTACTAGAGCAGCGGTTCTCAAACTCCGTTTCAGTTCTGGGACCTCTTTACAAGTCATACGATTTTACCTGACTTGTCAGCCCCAATTACTAATATCATAGCCACAGGCATAGAGAGTAAGCTTCTGACGTCAACTTAATGAAATGAATGATTCTTTGTAGTCAAATCATCACAGCATTAACTATTGAAAGCCAACAATGAAGTTTTACAGTCTAAGGACTAAAGCATGCTTAAAAAAACACTATGCAAAACATTAATACAACCACGGTTGTCGTATTGCTGATAATTTTTTGATGATGTGCATACTGCTTCTCGTCGTTTGAAGAAATCAACGGGTTTGTTAGAAAATGACTCTACAGTTTAGTAGGTTGTAAACCTTCGTTCGATAACACATTCAAATAAATAACATTCAAATAAATAACACATTCAAATAAATAACACTTTCAAATAAATGCCTTTGTGAGATATAAATAGTAATTTCCATAATCAGGAGCATATTTCTAGCTGTACGCGGTGCGCCTCTCTAACTGTCTCAGTTTCTTGTCACTAGATGTATTACACTCTTGCTCTTCGCCTCTTCTGCCGATGTCTGTGTACGCCTTGATATGTATTCATTATCTAACGTGTACATTGGGAGTGCGAAAAACAATTAAAACATTAAGAAAGATGAATTATACCGTATAACGTAATAACTTATCCTAAAATGTGCACCAGACTGATGTCGGTGTGTCGTGGAGTGTCAGGGGCGTTGGTTGGAAACTTAAAAACGACGCTTGGACTATTTTTTTGAATGACGTGATAATGCAGAAATTGAAAAAAAAAACGGCCTAGATTGGTTTGTAAAAAAAAGTAAATTTGATATTCATGCGCTGAATAAAATTCTATCACAAGACTTTTAACAATCATTATTGTTTTGACAAAAACGTCATAAAATACTTCGTACTAGAGAGATTAAACAGGATGAGTTGTTATTCGTATTACCTGATCGGATAAACTAGCTTTCAGCAAAGTATTTTAATTGTATATAATTTTCATCTTTCTGCGGACTCCGGATGGTCCGCGAGCCGCTGTTTAAGAACAATTGGTCTAGAGAATATAGACAAATCTTAGCGTTGGGAGACTGACAGTTTTTTATATTTTGTATTATTTAAACACTCTACTTTGTTCAATTTATAAATTAGTTTTCACTTCTAATAAGAGAATGTGTTTTATTGGATCTTAGAGTTACAGTACAGTGTGTCATTCCAATGTTGTACAAACTTTGATCTTAGAGTTACAGTACAGTGTCTCATTCCAATGTTATACAAACTTTGA